GAAAGGCAGATATACAAAGATAGGAGAGAGAGAGACAAAGATCCTCCATCTGCCAGTTCTCTGCCTCACCCAAGTAGCCACAACGACTGGAGCTGAGCCAATCCGGAACCAGGAGTTAGGAGCCTCTCCGATTCTCCCATGTGGGAGCAGGGTCCCAAGGCTTTGGGCCGTCCTCCACTGCTTTCCTAGGCCACAAGCAGGGAGCTGGATGGGAAGTGGAGCGGCTGGGACTTGAATTGGTTCCAGATATGGAATCCTGGCACTTGAATGAGGAGGATTAGCCAATTGAGCCATTGTGCAGGGAACAAGCCTGGAACTTTTTTACTTTCCAAGAATAGCACAAGAGTCCCTGTCTCCCATAGCTGTGCCAGCATTCCTTTGCATAACCCAGTCTTTAAATTTTGCAGTTTGATAAATGAATTCATTTTCATTTTGCTTCTCTGATATCCAACGAGGCTGGGCATCTTTTTTGTAAGTTTATCTACTGCCAGTTCTGAGGTTTTTCCATTTTCCCTAATGGATGGCTTTCCATTATTCTAAAAAGTTATTCATTTCTATTTATTTGAAAGTGGGTGCAGGAGAGGAGAGAAAGAGATTGATCTGTTAACTCGCGCTTTAAATACCTGTAACAACTGGGTCAGGACCAGGCCAAAGCCAGTAGCCTAAAGCTCCAGGTTTTCTAGGCCAGTGGCAGGGACTCAGTTCTTTAAGCTGTCACCTGCTGTGCATATCACCAGGATTTGCATAAACAGGAAGCTGGAGTTGGGAGCAGAGCAGATTTCAGATCTAGGCTCTTTGATGTGGCCGTAAATGTCCCCAAAGTCGGCTTCAGATTAGATCAAATGCCTGCGCCTTTGGTTTCCTTTGAATTGATTGACAAAATATCTTAAAATGTTCCGATTATGAATGTTGTGTTAGGTATGTTTATCAGCACAGAGAGCAGTTGTATCACCTCGAGGCTCTCTGCCCTTGCCCTTTTATAGCCACACTTGCAGCTCTTCCACATTTACCCCTACTTAACCTTGGCAAGCACTAACTTGTTCTCTGTTTCTATAAATTTACAATTTCAACAATGTTAACAATGTTTTATAAATGGAATCACACATTATGTAACATTTTTTAGCTTGGATTTTTTTTCCCCACTGAGCATAATTCTCTATAGATTCACCCAGATTATGTAGTTTCCCTTTTATTGCTGAGTAGTATGCATGGTACAGTGCACCACAATTTGTTTAACCATTCATTTACTGAAGGTCCTCTTGGTATTTATAATTTGTTTATAATAAATTAGACTTCTACAAATATTTGTGTACAGCTCTTTGGCTGTGCATGAGTTTTCATTTTCTTAGGTTAATGCCTCAGAGTTTATTTTATGCATTGTATTATTTCTTTAATTAATTTATTTGAAATACAGAGACAGACAGCTCCCATTCACTGGTTCGCTTTTTTTAATTTATTTTTCTTTATTTTTGACAATCTTTATATAGTTAATTAGGGCAAAAAGGTTCAAGGGCTACAGGAAAGTGGGTAAGACTATTATTTCACATTGTTTTTTTCCTGTATCTGGGGTAAAGGGGGAGGTAAAGGGAGAAGCCCCACCCAGTCTCCCACCCATCCCAGGTCCCGGATGTGGGGCATGCTCCGAGGGTCTTGCTCAAGTGGTTTTGATAGTTCAACACTTTTTGAATTGCTGCCAATCTCGTCATTCCAAGCACGATGAAGTCACTGCAGAATCCACTGATTGACATAATACACATTAGAGTCTCCATTTGCCCAGTTTTTCACTGCCAACATATGGCTGGGGTAGTTGATTGATTTGTTCTGTCCTGTGTTGTGGTGCCAGGTGTCCTCTGCAGGTTCGGATAGACTGCCATATCCTCCATGTGCAGCTGGTTATGCTCTCCACTGACCAGATTCTTGTGTGTACTTGCAAGTACAAGGCCCAGCACAGTCCATCTCCCCAATCAGCTGGTGGTTGCAGTTGCTGGGTCAGTTCTGTTTCTAGCCCTGTCTTCCACTGGAATCAATAGGTATTGTAACCCAGTCTGATTCTGCCCAGCACACACTCGGCCCTCACATAAACCAGTGGGAGCTGCAGTCTAGTTGGAGCAACCCACAATAACCCCCACCAGGCTGGTGCCCTACCCTGATTCCTGTGCTTGCCAGTATGTACAGCAGACTATTCTGTCCCACATCCGTTCCGCTCTCATGCATGTCTACGGGCATTGAAGCCTAGTTCAACCCAACCAGCTCCACTATCCAGCCCTCACTCATGCTGTTGGTTGCCTTTCTGTTTAGCCACCCCTGCTTCTGTCCTCCTTTTTGTGCTCTCCAGTGGGAGTGGTAACCCAAGAGGGAGGAGCCCAATATTTCCTTTCTAGGCCACTCCCGGATTATGCACTCTCCAGGTGGTTCTGGAAGTATTACTTTTGAAAGATTTATTTATTTTCATTGGAAAGGCAGATACACAGAGAGGAAGGTCTTCTGTCCAGTGATTCACTCCCCAAGTGACCCCAATGGCTGGAGCTGAGCCGATCCAAAGCTAGGAGCCAGGAGCTTCTTCCGGGTCTCCCACGTGGGTGCAGGGTCCCAAGGCTTTGGGCCATCCTTGATTGCTTTCCCAGACCACAAGCAGGGAGCTGGATGCGAAGCAGGGCTGCCGGGATTCAGACCGGCACCCATATGGGATCCTGGCGTGTGCAAGGTGAGGCCTTTAACCACTACACCCTGCACCGGGCCTGGTTCTGGGATTTAATTTGACAGATTTAGCGTGTAGTGCGAGCCCCGCCAGTTGATGCTGTGGCAAAGCCTAACCAACCCTTACCCATTCTAATTTTTTAAATTTAAGATTTATTTATTTTTATGGGCCCAGCAGCGTGGCCTAGCAGCTAAAAAAAAAAAGATTTATTTATTTATTGGAAAGGCAGATGTACAGAGAGGAGGAGAGACAGAGAGCAAGATCTTCTGTCCGATGGTTCACTCCCCAAATGAGTGCAATGGCTGGAGCTGAGTCAATCCGAAGCCAGGAACCAGGAGCTCTTCCGGGTCTTTTATGCAGGTGCAGGGTCCCAAGGCTTTGGGCCATCCTTGACTGCTTTCCCAGGTCACAAGCAGGGAGATGGATGGGAGGTGGAGCTGCCAGGATTAGAACTGGCGCCCATATGGGATCCCAGAGCATTCAAGGCGAGGACCTTAAGCATTATGCTATTGCATCAGGCCCAACCTACTCTATTTTTTGCTTGCACCAGTTGGAATAATCAGCCCAAACTGGCTTTTCCCTGATCTAATTCACAAGAGGCCCACATCTGTTGTAGCACTGCCTGGCCTGGTCTGCGCCTATCCCAATCCATGCTCTCCAGTGGGAGTGGTTGTCCAGCATTTGAGCCACATTCCCCCTGCCGGCTCTGCCCCTCCCTCCCTGGTTCTCATATGTACTATTGGGCGCTGTGGCCACATCTGGTATGGATCACCTCTCTTGGTATTTTGTATTGTGCACTGGTTCTTGTAGTGAACGAACCTGGCTTGACCCACACTCTGTTCTGGTACTTGGATTCACCAGTGGATGATGTGAACAGGTTTAACCTGGTCTGCCCCCTATCTGTGCCAAATGGATGCCGGTGGGTAACCTTCCATGGCCTGTTTTGGGCTGTTTCCTATTATGCTTCTTGCGCTTGCCGGCAGGGACTGTGTCCTGTCAGAAAATTGCCCAGGCTCCTCCATCAGAACCTCTCCCAGTGCCACATTTCATGCATAATAGCCCTACTCAGCTCATCTCCTGTCTGTAGGAACAGTGGCCTTTCCTGACTGGCATTCAACCCATTCTGGTTCTTACTGTTGGATGTTTCAGCCCAGCCACAGCTCACAGGTGGCTCAATAGGGGCTGAGGCCTAGCCTAGTCCCTCCCACATCTACCCTGGTCCTCCAGAGCACCAGATGGTGTTGGAGTCTAGCCTGGCTTGGTGCATCCAGTCCCAGTCCACACTTACTACAGCCATTTCCAGACCAGTACTCGGCCCCCACCCTCACCAGTGGGAATCAGCCCAGCTAGAGGTCCCCTTAGCTCCCCAGCCGGGCCTGTTCCCAGCTACAGATTTTGCACATGCCAGTGGTTGCTCTGACTCAGCTTGGCACAGCCCCTCACCTGTCCCGACCCTGCTTTAGATGCTGTAGGTTAGCGTCCCTGGCTCATGCAGACCAGCAGGTGCAAGAGCCTAGCTCAGCATGCCCTGTGCTCCATCCCGAGCTAAGGTTTGCTCAGACCTGCCCGGTCTACCTTGTCCCATTACCAACCCACACATTAGCCAGCCATTGGAGCTACTTTGCCCAGCTTGTCCAACCCCCAGGTATGGACCATGTGTTCACCAGCAGGAGATATGACCCACCAGGGGAATTTCCCAAGTTCCTCCCCTTGACCCACTCCCAGACCCAGTTCTCATACACTGGTTCACTTTTAAATGCCCACAATGGACTATGATGGACCAGACCAAAACTTGGAACCTGGAACTCCATCTGCAGTTCTCACATGATAGCAGGGACATGAACGTTTCATCTGTCACCTCCTATCTCCTAGGCTGTGCATTAATGGGCTGCTGGAATGGGGACTTACCTAAGCACTCTGATACGGGATGTGGGCACCTAAGCAGCATCAGAAACCTCTTAATTTTATACTAGGCATTTGTCTCTACTCTTTTTTTAAAAAAATTTTTCATCTGTACTTTTATCTGGTACTGTTATTCAATTTAAATATACTGCAAAGGATGTGCCTACAATCACTTTTATAACCAAATAATCCCAAGACGCTGCTTGGGTGGCTCATAATGATGAGCTTCAGCAGGTCACAACAGAAAACTGCCAGGATGAGGACAACGGCCTCCTCCACCCAAGCAATGTGTAATGGTTCCAATGGGAACCTCGCATCGCCCTGATGAATTCTGACTTCACACTTTTGGGGAAGGTTACCAAGATGGCGTCAAAGTAGACTAAATTTACACAGCACATTTAAAAAAAAAAAGACATTTATTCAACGTTATGATCAAACTATTACAATTAGCAATCAACAGCAAGGGTGCAAAAAAAGAAAACAAAGAAAAACTACATTTAAAACCCTTTGTTGGAATGCTTTACACTTCCCACAGAACAGAAACTAAAGTAACCTGTTATACAATTAGTCACAAATATAGTCCTCGAGTTTTTTTTGCCCATACACAGGAGTATTCTCTACATATCTTCTTTGTAGTAGCTAGGCCCTGCCACTACTGTGCTTGGCTGAATTCACCAATCTGTTGTAACCTGTAGCTTCCCTGTCACTCTCTGGCTCTGCTCTCCTGCTAAGTTTTGTTTCCTGGCAGTCACTAAAATCTTCTGCCACTGCCATAGCTACTGCTGCTGCTGGAACCGCCATAGCCACCTTGGTTTCGTGGTTTGGCAAAATATTGGCCACCACCACCATAGGGGCCAGAGCTTCTGCCCCCGTAGTTTCGTCCCTTCATGCGTCCAAAATTTGAAGACTGATTGTTGTAATTGCCAAAGTCATTGTAGCTTCCACCGCCTCCAAAGTTGCTTCCACTCCCACCAAAGCCGCCTCTGCCATTGTTATAGCTGTCATAGCTGCCACTCCTGCCATAGCCACCGCCATAGCCACTGCCCTGGCCACCACTTCCATAGCCTCTGCTTCCTCCAGAGTAACCAGGGCCGCCTCCTCCATAACCACCATCATTACCAAATCCGTTGTAACCATCCCCACTGCCACCATAACCACCACCACCTCGGCTGCCACCATAGCCACCACGACCACTGAAGTTTCCTCCTCGACCGAAGTTGTCATTGCCACCAAAGCCACCTCCATAGTCACCACCAAAGTTTCCAGAACCACTTCGGCCTCGTGGGGCAGAGGCAGCGCTGGCCATCTCCTGCTTCGACAGGGCCTTCCGGACGTTACAGCTGTGACCGTTCACGGTGTGGTATTTCTGAATGACAATCTTGTCGACAGAATCGTAGTCACCAAAGGTCACAAAAGCGAAGCCTCTCTTCTTGCCACTGCTGCGATCGGTCAGGATCTCAATCACTTCGATTTTCCCAAACTGCTCGAAATAATCTCGGAGGTGATGCTCTTCGGTGTCTTCCTTAATGCCCCACACGAAGATTTTCTTCACAGTGAGATGGGCACCGGGTCTTTGAGAATCTTGTCTGGAGACAGCCCTCTTGGGTTCCACCACTCTGCCGTCTACCTTGTGTGGCTTCGCGCTCATGGCCGCATCCACTTCCTCCACGGTGGAGTAGGTTACAAACCCAAAGCCCCTGGAGCGCTTGGTGTTCGGGTCTCGCATCACCACACAGTCCGTGAGCGTTCCCCATTGCTCAAAATGGCTCCGCAGGCTCTCGTCGGTCGTTTCGAAGTTCAGGCCTCCGATGAAGAGCTTCCGCAGCTGTTCGGGCTCTTCGGGAAACTCCCACTCGGACATGACGGCGGTGCGAGGAGAGAGAGCGCGATGCTGCTACCTCGGCGGCGTCCACGAGCAGAACGGAACAACGAACCAACGGATCCGCCTGCCTACCTCCGGTTTCGCTTTTTTAATCCCGCCTCCGCGCCTTCGACATTGGCAGATTCGGCCACCGCCCGCCTCTGATTGGACCGTTGAAATATCCGCCCCTCCCTATTGGTGGATGCTGCCGCCATCTTCGAGGACGTCACGTCTGGGCGATCTGCGCAGGCTCCAACCCTCGGACGCCATTGGCTTTTGGGCAATTTACTCTCCATCGTCCTGATTGGCTAGCCTACCAATCAGTCAGATTTGAACCTACTTGGGGTGGTGCTTGAAAGTTTTTTTTTATTCTCCTCGCCTAAACATGATACCGTAGTCGCTTGGTGACGCATAATTAAGACGACGCGGCAGAAAAGTAGTATATCTGACAATTTTTTTTTTCCCGCAATGACTCTATTCCTTAACCAGGCCGGACTCGGCGGCGTGGCCTAGCGGCTAAAGTCCCCTCCTTATGAATACGCCGGGATCCCATAACGACGCAGGTTCTAATCCCAGCAGTCCCACTTCCCATCCAGCTCCCTGCTTGTGGCCCAAGGCTTTGGGACCCTGCACCCGTGTGGGGGACCTGGAGGAAGTTCATGGGGCTCCGGGTCGGCGCACACCGGCGTTGCGCTCACTTGGGGGTTGCAATTCAAATAAGTCATTTAAAACAAAAGAATGTAGTATATTTTTAATTCATTTCTATATAAAGTATAAGACTTAGGTGAAGATTTTTTCCCCTCCATCTGTGTCCAATAGCTCTAGCAGCATTTATTGAAGGGATATCTTTCTTCTGTTAAGTTGCTTTAGAACCTTTGCCAAAAGTCATTTGGGCAGACACTTCTTTTGTGAGTCTATTTATAAACTCTCTATGTTACCTTATTGATTTCTGTGTCTGTTCCTCCCTCAACAGCCATCCGCTATTTATTACTGAATTTGGTTAAACTAGTTTTTCATATTCTCCCCTGCTTTCCCAAATATTTTTTATTTGTTCTACCTTCATTGTGTTTCTACATACATTTTACAATGATTTTGTTTATATCTATAAAATATCTTGCTGGCCTTTTAAAAAAATAGGAAAGGCATTAAAACTACTCAGTTTAGGGAGAACTGACATTTTTACTGTGGCGAGTTTTCACACTGATGAACATATCATGGATATTTGTTCATTTAGATTCTCTTTGACTTATTTCATTAATGTTTTATAATTTCCAGCACATAAGTTCTGTGGTTATTGTGTTACACCTAAACATTTCATTTATTCTTTTCTTTGAATGGCTGCTAATGATCCTGCACTTTAAATTCTGCTGTCCATAACAGATAAAATGTATAAACCCTGAAGCATACACATTTTTTTAAAAGAATTGTTTATTTTTATTGGAAAGTCAGATTTACAGAGAGAAGGAGAGACAGAGAGAAAGATCTTCTGTCTACTAGTTCACTCCCCAAGTGGCTTTAATGGCTGGAGCTGAGCTGATCTGAAACCAGAAGCATGGAACCAGGAGCTTCTTCCAGGTCTTCCATGTGGGTGCAGGGTCCCAAGGCTTTGTGTTATCCTTAACTGATTTCCCAGGCCACAAGCAGGGAACTGGAATGGAATTGGAGCAGCTGGGACACAAACTGGCACCCAAATGGTATCACCGTGTAGGAGACCTGGAAGAAGCTTCTGGCTGCTGGCTTCAGAGCTGCTCAATTCCAGCAGCTGAGGCCACTTGCAGAGTAAACTAGTAGAGGGAAGATCTTTCTTTGTCTCTGTATATCTGCCTTTCTGATGAAAATAAATCTTATTTTTAAAAAAGGAAATTTGAAAATGCCATGCTAAGTACAAGAAACTGGACACAAAGATGATCACATCTTGAATGATTCCATTCACATGAAATATCTAAAACAAGGAAATCCGTAGAGACGGAAAGCAGACTATTGGTTGTCAGAGGCTGGGGTGGGGCGGCTGGGGAATGATTGCCAGCGGGTGTGGAATTTCCTGCTGGGGTGATGTAAATGTTTTGAAGTTGAATACAGGTGATAGATGCATAACTCTATGAATACATTTAAAATGCTAACAGAGTGAGCATATGGCAGATAAACTACATCTCAATAAAATTTAAGGAAGAAATACAGTTATTTTCAGGTAAATAAAGCCAAAAGAACCACGATGTTAGAAGTGTTAAACAATGATCTTAGAGCTGATAAAAATGATCCAATATGGTTATTGGTTCTTTTTTGGTTCTTTCCTAGGTCACAAGCAGGGAGCTGGATGGGAAGCTGGGCCGCCAGGATTAGAACCGGCGACCATATGGGATCCTAGCATGTTCAAGGCGAGGACCTTAACCAGTACGTTATCGTGCTGGCCCGGTTATTTGGTTCTATAGAAAGAATAGAAGATTGCTGGAAATGGTAAATATGCTGATACATATAAGACTATATACGTGTCTCTTTTCTTTATTTAGGGTACATATTTCTTTTTTTTAGTAGTTATTTTATTTTTTATTGGAAACTCAGATATACAGAGAGGAGGAGAGATAGAGAGAAAGATCTTCTGTACACTGATTTACTCCCCCCCAGGTGAGTGCACCGGCCGGTGCTATGCCGATCCAAAGCCAGGAGCCTAGGAGCCTCTTCCGGGTCTCCCACGTGGGTGCAGGGTCCCAAGGCTTTGGGCCATCCTCGACTGCCCTCCAAGGCCACAAGCAGGGAGCTGGAAGGGAAGTGGGGCTGCTGGGATAGAACTGGCTCCCATATGGGATCCTGGTATGTTCAAGGCGAGGAGTTTAGCTGCTAGGCCATGGCGCTGGGCCCTGGGGACATATTTCTATTTACAGCAATATTTATTCAATATGAAGTAAACTTTATTAAAAATATAGATGTAATTAATGTACATGATAATGCTGGTAAAAAATTTGCACATGTTTTATGGTCCAAATTTATAGTCTTTCATGTCAATTCTATCCTTTTAGGGCTTCTATATTTAAGGGAAAGCAGATCAGTATTAATTTTTTCTTTAAGATTTTTTTGGTTGGAAAGTCAGATTTACAGAAAGAAGCAAACACAGAGAGAACGATCTTCCATTCACTGGTTCACTCCCCAAGTAGCCACAACGGCCAAAGCTGTGCCAATCAGAAGTCAGGAGCCTCTTCTGGGTCCCCAAATGATTGCAGGGTCCCAAGGCTTTGTGCCATCCTCAAATGCTTTCCCAGGCCACAAGCAGGAAGCTGGAAGGGAAGTGGAGCAGCCAAGATGTGAACTGTGCTCATATAGGATCCCAGGTTGCAAGGTGAGGACTTCAGTTGCTAGGCTACTGTGCCGGGCTCACAGTATTATTTTGAAGCAGATTGTGATAACCAAAGATACATAATATAACCTACAGAGAAGCTATGAAAATAATAATATAAAAGGATAGCAAGCTATTATTAGGTAATTAAAATAGAGTACTAATAATTATCAGATTATTCTAGAGGAAGACAAGAAAGGAGGAACAAATAAAATAAAATAACAGATGAGCACATATAAAGAAACAACAAATTTTGGGTTTGCCTTAAAAAATCTATCCTATCTAACAAAAATCTGCATATTTATTGGAACATTTAGTCAATTTACATTTCATTTTTCTTTTTCTTTTAAGATTTATTTTTATTGGAAAGGCAGATATACAAGAGAAGGAGAGACAGAGAGGAAGAGCTTCCATCTCATGATTCACTTCCCAAGTGGCCGCAATGGCTGGAGCTGAGCCAATCCAAAGTCAGGAGCCAGGAGCCTCCTCCAGGTCTCCCATGTGGGTGCAGGATCCCAAGGCTTTGGGCCATCCTCGACTGCCTTCCCAAGACACAAGCAAGGAGCTGGATGGGAAGTGGAGCTGCTGGGGTTAGGACTGGTGTCCATATGGTATCCCAGTGAGGACTTTAGCTGCTAGGCCACCATGCCGGACCCATTTCATTTTTCTGCATTTGGATTTAGTTCCATCGTTTTGCTGTCTGATGAGTGAGTTTGTTCTGGCAGGTAATTAACTTCGCTGGTCTCAGGACTCCCAGTGTTGTCTCCGCAGTTGATAGAACTAGAGTCTCCATTCAGTTGTTTCAGCTCTCAGCTGCTGTTCTCTCTGCAGGGCCAGCTGGGATCTCCCTGGAGCATGTAGAATGAAGCAGGAATCTGGTTATTGGCAGGAATTTTAAGTACAGATTCACGGCTAGGCCCCTGCAGGACTCTTTCAGGATTTCTCACCCACTTTGTATCTCTGCTTTCGATCCTGAACTCTGTCCTTGACATCTGGAAGTAGGAAGACTGTGTTTTCTCGAGTGGAACACAGAAAAGGGATCATCGGCCTTTGTCAAGCAGCCATAAAATCACACATCTCGCCAGGATGCCATTCCATCCAATAGTCAACTCTACCAGCTTCTGCCTGCATATATTGTTCTCAAGTAATTGTTCTTCAAATAATTGTTAAAAATTTGTCTACATTTTATAACTTTTTTTTTTAAAAGAGTTATTTATTTGAAAAGCAGAAAAAGAGAAAAGAGAGAGATTCCCTATCTGCTAGGTTTATCTCCAAGTGGTTGCAATGACTGGGGTTGTGCCAGACCGAAGCTAAGAAGCCTGAAGCTGTGTTCAGGCCTCCTACCTGGGGAGCAGAGAATGAAGTCGTTGAGCCACATTCTACTGGCTTTCCAGGTGCATTAGTAGGGAGCTGAGTTTGAAACAGAGCAGCTGGCTTCTAATTGGTGCTCCAATATGGGATGCTGGTGTTGCAAAGAGTGGCTCATGAAGGTTTTGAATTGGATCAACCTGAAAAGCCATTGTCCTCACGTCTTCCAATGAGGCACCTCCTCACTCTTCCTTCAACGTCCTCCCCTTCTTGCTATAAAAGAGTGTCAGAATCATCAAGATATTTTTTATTTGAAAAGATTTATTTATTTTTATTGGAAAGGTAGATTTACAGAAAGAGAAACTCAGAAAGAAAGATTTCCCATCTGCCGGTTTACTCCCCAAGTAGCTGCAGTGGCCAA